CTGGGGCAGCAGGGCCAGGGTCAGACCCTGGCACTCGGGCCCCTGGTGCCCGTGGGGAGCAGCCGCCCGGCCGTGCCGGGTACCCCAGCCCCTCTGTCCCCCATCACTGCCTTCCCGTGCTCTGTGGGGCGAGGGGTCCCGTAAGCCCAGCATGGCTTGCACAGGTTTTACACCGCAGTTCTGAGGTGTAAGGTGCCTGAACTGCTTGTCTTGGAGCCTTCACCCTTCCCCTGCCTTGTAGCTGGGCCTGTAGACCCAGCAGGGGCTGCTCCCTGACTGGCCTTCCCGAAATTCACTTTTCCCCAGTGCCAACCGAGGAGCAGCAGGAACAACAAAATCCTGGTGGAAGTGTGGGCACTCACTGTTCCGCTCTCGGTAGTGTTACCAGTGGTGAACTTCAGCTAGAACTGTGTCAGTCTGTGCCAAAATGTGTCTAGAGCATGGCCCAATAATGACCTAAAACCTTTGAAGTTGGTTATTTAGCAAATAGGCATATTAAGCAACAGAGAACCTAAAAACTTCATGGAGGGGCTCACTTAAGACGCTCAGTATAACTAAGTTATGAAGACCTCGTTGATTTTAACTGTTGTTTATTTCCATTCTAGAAAAACTTCTGATAAAGAAAGATGATACAAAGAGAGTTGTAAGTATTTGCATTTTGTTCAGAAAATGAAGTAAAACGTGCAGCCTCTTTCATTATAATTTCATTATAATTTGAGCATATGCAGCTGTTGCCTGTGCCTGTGTCACTGTGTGGTGCTGGGTCTGGCACTGGGTCATAGTCAGTGCAAGGCTACACTTGTCTAGTTCTGTAAATTCCAATAAAATTGTGAGGGATTTGTGTAAAAATTGTGAGGGATAAAACGGGGAGGGATTGTGTTGGGACAGGTGACAGTTTGGGGTCAGTGTTGCATCTGTAGCCTTGCCATTGCCCTATGCATCCCTCCTTGGCAGGTGGTGATTTTTTTTTTTTATTTGGAACTTAATCACTTGAAGCTATAAATTATTTTAAGACAGCTGAAAAAAAAATCTCTTAGTTTATTTTAGTTGTTCAAGTTTCTGAAAATAAAAATGTAGTACCTCTTAAGGTTTAAGCAATCCTTCCTGGGAAATAATCTCATCACAGTGTAAGGAACCAGCCTGGTGCCATGGGAAGGGTACATTTTCACACACTGTTCTCACAATGACTCTGTTTTTCATCAGATATGCATCGAGGGGAACATTGCAAGTGGGAAAACAACATGCCTGGATTATTTTGCACAAACTACCAGCATTGAGGTACTGGATCTACAGTTCTTTATCTTTATTTCCAACATTCAGCAGTTGCTTGTCCTGACAGAACTGACACTCTGGAAATGTTCTCCTCGGGCACACAGAATGGAGCAGCAGGTTGTGAGCCAGGGGCTTGCTGAGGGACCTCCCCATCTCCCAAATTTTTATACTCAGATTGCAGAAAAGAAAATAATAAAGTACAGGGTGCCAAAAGATCAGTAAAACCTGTGGATTGGAGTCTGTACCTCTGCAAAGTAACAGCAACCCACAGGGGTTGGGCATGTTTGGACATGCCTGTTTGCCATTTCATGTCACTGAAATCTTCGGTGTGTCTTGTAATAAGCAAAGATGTAATGATGTAAAAATACTGATGTCACACACTTGAGATTCTAGTGAATATATGGCTTTTTTGAAAAATGGAAAATCTGTTAAAACTGTTCCTAAAGATTTTGTAGACTGATTTGAGATTTGATTTCATGTTGCTTAGAACAAGATTGAGGGAAGGGCAGGGTTATTGTATTTTTAAACAAAATCAAGATCAAACCCCAGTGAACAATTGTTGTTGTGTACAAAGTGAACAATTGTTTTTGTGTACAACAAATATTAATACTTTTCCTAGCAGAGCTGGCAATACATTTGATAGTAAGTTTTAGGAGTCCCCGTGGAAATGCTGGGTTGCCAGATGTTATTTGGTAATTTAACAGAAATAATCCTTATGAAGTAATTAACTGTTAACCCAAAAGATAGCAGACTTTAATTTGCCTATAGTGCAACATTTTTTAAGTAGCTAGTTAAGTCTCTTAGCCCTGGCTTTGTGGTTGGAGTTTTAGACCCTGTTTGAACCAGGTAAGTCTTGTCATTTTACCTATTCAGGGTAGAAGCTTTTCTGATTAATTTTGTAAAGGTTTTGAATACAGTTTGTTTGTTAAAACAAAAAAAATAGAATTAAAACTAATATGATAGCAGTCTGATCCTCTTTGTGCCAAGTGTTAGTTTCTCTGGCATGAATTTGTGAGGTAATTGGCAGGTCATTAAATGGAATCAGGACTCTGCTAAGCAGTACTTTCCCTTATGTGGGACTGATTTTGACTCAAAAATAAAGAAATTCTGTCCAGGCTCATTAGGTGTTTTACTTTGGTAGTTTAAAAATGCTAAGATGGTGTTATATGTTGATATTTTTCTATTTTTAGAGTTTTTGCTGTTACTTTTTGTGTTCAGGATTCAGTGC